GACTACTAATTTCCAAAGAATGGAAATTTACTCTGATACCATCCCTGCCAACAATCAGCTCCTTTGAATTCCATGCAGTCACCATTATCCACCCCTTCTACATAAATGTGGTTGTCATCTACCGCCCACCCGGTAAATTAGGTCACTTCTTAGATGAACTGGATGTTCTTCTCTCATCGTTTTCTAATTTTGACACTCCCTTGTTGGTGCTAGGTGACTTCAAAATTTACGTTGAGAAACCGCAAGCTGCTGACTTTCAGACTCTGCTTGCCTCTTTTGACCTAAAAAGAGCACCTACTTCTGCTACCCACAAATCAGGTAATCAGCTAGACCTTATTTACACACGACACTGCTTCGCTGATCAAACAATAGTAACTCCACTACAAATATCGGATCATTTCCTTCTGTCTCTCAACATCCACATTACTCCTGAGCCGCCACACACTCCAACACTGGTTACCTTTCGCAGAAACCTACGATCTCTCTCACCCAATAGACTATCCACCATTGTTTCAGACTCTCTTCCTCCATCTTGCAAACTCTCTGCACTTGATACGAACAGTGCCACTGATACACTCTGCTCCACACTAGCATCATGTATAGACCGATTATGTCCTCTTGCATCCAGGCCAGCCCGTGCCAGTCCTCCTGCACCCTATCTCTCAGATGCTTTCCGTGAGCATCGCTCAAAACTTCGGGGTGCAGAAAGAATTTGGCGGAAAACTAAAAATCCTGCACAGCTCTTAACATACCAAACTCTTCTGTCCTCTTTCTCAGCTGAGGTTACTTTTGCAAAGCAGACATATTACCGTCTGAAAATCAACAATGCCACTAATCCTCGTCTACTTTTTAAAACATTTTCCTCCCTCCTCTATCCTCCTCCTCGACCCGCATCCTCCACACTTACTACTGATGACTTTGCTACATTCTTTTGCACCAAAACTGCAAAAATCAGTGCTCAATTTGCTGCACCTACAACAAACACGCAAGATACACCACCAACACCACACACACTAACCTTTTTTTCTCAGCTCTCTGAGTCTGAGGTGTCTAAACTCGTGCTATCTAGCCATGCAACCACCTGTCCACTCGATCCCATTCCCTCTCATCTCTTGCAAGCCATCTCTCCTGCAGTCATACCAACACTGATTCACATAATTAACACAACTCTTGACTCTGGTTTATTCCCCACTTTATTTAAGCAGGCTAGGGTAACCCCACTGCTAAAGAAACCCAACCTGGACCATACGCTACTTGAAAATTACAGATCAGTATCCCTGCTTCCATTCATGGCCAAGATTCTGGAGAAAGTAGTATTCAATCAAGTCCTGGACTTTCTTACTCAAAACAATCTCATGGACAACAAGCAATCTGACTTTAAGAAAGGCCACTCTACTGAGACTGCCCTGCTCTCGGTCGTGGAGGATCTCAGACTGGCTAAAGCAGACTCAAAATCATCAGTCCTCATTTTGCTGGACTTGTCAGCTGCTTTTGACACTGTCACCCACCAGATCCTGCTATCTACGCTCGAGTCACTGGGCATTGCGGGCACTGTTATACAATGGTTCAGATCTTACCTCTCTGACAGGTCATTGAGGGTATCTTGGAGGGGAGAGGTGTCCAACCTACAGCATCTAAACACTGGGGTACCTCAAGGCTCTGTTTTTGGGCCACTTCTCTTCTCCATCTACACATCATCTCTAGGACCAGTCATCCAGAGACATGGATTCTCCTACCACTGCTATGCTGATGATACCCAGCTATACCTCTCTTTTCATCCTGATGATCCCTCGGTTCCAGCTCGCATCTCAGCCTGCCTGTTGGATATTTCACACTGGATGAAAGATCATCATTTTCAGCTGAACCTTGCAAAAACGGAAATGCTTGTAGTTTCTGCCAACCCGACTCTACACCATAACTTTTCAATCCAGATGGACGGGGCAACCATTACTGCATCCAAAATGGTGAAAAGCCTTGGAGTAACGATTGATAAACAACTAAACTTCTCTGACCACATTTCTAGAACTGCTCGATCGTGCAGATTCGCACTCTATAACATCAGAAAGATCCGACCCTTCTTATCTGAACATGCAGCTCAACTCCTTGTTCAAGCTCTTGTTCTCTCCAAACTGGATTACTGCAACTCTCTACTAGCTGGGCTTTCAGCTAACTCTATCAAGCCTCTTCAGCTGCTCCAGAACGCAGCAGCACGAGTGGTCTTCAATGAACCTAAACGAGCACATGTCACTCCGCTGCTAGTCCGTTTGCACTGGCTGCCAGTTGCTGCTCGCATCAAATTCAAAGCTCTGATGTTTGCCTACAAAGTGACTTCTGGCCTTGCTCCTTCTTATCTGCTCTCACTTCTGCAGATCTATGTGCCCTCCAGAAACCTGCGTTCTCTGAATGAACGTCGCCTAGTGGTTCCATCCCAAAGAGGGAAGAAATCACTTTCGCTCACGCTCACGCTCAATCTGCCCAGTTGGTGGAATGAACTCCCTAACTGCATCAGAACAGCAGAGTCACTCGCTATTTTTAAGAAACGACTAAAAACTCAACTATTTAGTCTCCACTTCACTTCCTAATCTGCAACTGCCTCTCTGAATATCACACTAACTGTACAAAAAAAAAAATACTAATACAACTAATACTTTCCTTCTTAGACTTTACAGACCTGAAACTTGCCTATAGCACTTATTCATTGTTGCTCTTAGTTGTGTAAATTGCTTCCTTGTCCTCATTTGTAAGTCGCTTTGGATAAAAGATTCTGCTAAATGACTAAATGTAAATGTAAATGCAGACAGCAATGAGATAATTGTGAAGGAGTTTATGGAAGAAAACTCACTTTTATGTTTGAATGATGGGAAGCCAACAAGGATGGATATAATAGAAGACAATATGTCATGCCTAGACCTTACAATAAAATCAGCTGTTTTAGCGGATAAGTGCGCTTGGAATGTGCTTGATAATGATATGATTAATGATCACTGGCCTGTAGTATGTGAGGTCCAGAATACTGTACAAAAACAAAACTTTAAATAGGCCCAATCCCAATTCTATTTTTTGTACCCCTACCCCTAGCCCTGACTGAGTGTTAAGGGGAGGGGCTTTAAAATTTACCTCATAGAATTGGGACAGCACTACAGCACATGTCAGCACGATCTCTTGCTTCATATGAGATCAGACTGCTGTAGTGATTCCAGTTGTGTGTGTGCGTGTTTTTTTTTTTTGGTATTTATCCTCAGGAAATCATTGAATGCATATATTATGTTATCATAACGATCTAATGTGGCAATAGGATTGTAAATATGCTGTGCATTTACACAGCTGCCACATTCATCATGTAAACACACAAAATCAACATTGACATTATAGCAGACACTATAAAAAGGTTATTTCCAGCCACTAGATTGTTCTGACAGGGTATTCAAGTGTCATCGAGTGTCAGAATGTTTTGGGACTGCTGTACAGGAGTTATTATTAGAGATTGTGGATCGCGGAATTTAGCGGGTTTCGATTTTAAAAACTTTTTTTTTAAGCATGATGGTAAAACAAACACATTTATTGATTTAATTTTAATAAATTTAAATTTTTATTTTAATTTAAAATTGATTAATTTTTGCATCTCCTTACTTCCGGTTGCAGCTGTGGCTGGTGTATTCGGGGAAATTTTTTTACCTCTTGGTTTCAAGTGTGGTCCTAAAAATTTTTGTTCAAAGGGGTTTTTCCCCTCTTGCCCTTTGCCTTACGCCGTCAAGCTAAAGAGAATTGAGACACCCCTACCCCTTCACGAGGGGTAGGGGGAAGGGTAAGGGCTAAGGGGTAGAATTGGGATTGGGTTTTAGTGTACAAGATTGGCATTCAAGCAGGGTAATGGAAAGAACGAAAAATGTGCCATGGTGGTCAGAAGAATGTATGATGACAAAAGGAGAAAGAAATAAGACTTCCCTAATTAAAAAAAGAACAATGTCAAGAGAAGTTACAGAATATCAGAAGAGAAGGGCAGTTGCAAAAAGGGTTATTAAAAGTGCAAAGAGAAAGGATTGGCAGTAAATCTGTAACACAATTGGAAGAGAAACTGGAATGCATGTGGTATGGAAAAAAAAGGAAAATTAATGGCATTGATAATTATGAATCAATTCCTGTAATAAAAGAGGAGGAGAAAAGGGTGGTGACAAACAACGGAAAAACTTAAATTATTGCAAAAGCATTAGCAAAAGTTCATAGCATTGAATATTTGGTTTATATCTTTTCAAAAAGAAGACATTAATTGAGTGGAAAAATAAAAAATTGTTCATAGGAAAAAACAACATATGGATAGTTATTTGAATCAAGATTTTAAAACTTACAAATTAAAAATAGCTATCAATATTTCCAATTATTCAACACTTGGGAGAAATATGATTAGATATAGTATGCTAAAAAAAAATTTCCAGAGGTGGCCATGAAAGCAATATTGAAATAATTTAATCATATACTAAATAATTAGGAAGGCATCTTACCCAAAAAATGGAAAATAGCAATGGTGATACCAGTTGTAAACCCAGGTAAGGATGCTACAAAATCTAATTGTTACAGATGTAATCTTCGCTCTTACAGCTGCATTTTGTACATACGTACGTACGTAACCCATGCTCCCCGATTGGGGACCAATCACTCTGAAGAATAAGAAAAAGGGCCTTCTTGCCACTTTTAAGCACTGTGTCAATAATTTCGTTTAATTTATGAATCAAGTGCAGTGCCATTTTAGCAATCACGGCAATCATATCTTTACAGGGATCCTGCTTCTTTTTCATACCATACAAAATAAAAATAAAACTGAAATATAAATTAAACTACATAAAGCCTCTATACATACAAGTACAGTAGATAACAAGAACACAGAATAATTAAATTTCATTTCAATCAGTACAAAATATTTAATAAATTAAAATAAAAAAAAAACCCGAAAAATTCTAAAAATACAAAATGACATTAGTCTACAACAGTTGGGCAGACTGCACCTTTTGTAACTCAGCTATGGAGAGATGGATGCTGTAGAGCTGTCCAAGGTCTGTGCTGGCAACCAGAGTCTCTTCTGATGGACTGATGCAGAGAGTGCTGATTTTCTGCTTCTCTGTTAAACTGAGATCGTTACTAAAACGTTTTGGAGGAATCTGAAAAAAAAAAAAAAAAAAAAAAAAAACAGTTAAAAAATTTCAATAAAGTTTTTAATACTAAAACAAAAACATTACAATGTCATGGCACCTTTATGACTCTGGTCTTCTTGTAGAGATCTGCCTTCTCGGTTTTCTCAAACAAACACACAGTTCCTTGACCCATGGAGCAAGCAAATCCATTAGAATAACTTACGATGGCTGTAACCTGTGGCAGCGCAGAGAAGGGTTCATCTGAATACTGCTGTTTTGACTCACTGCAAGATAAAATGAAGCGCAGGGAAGATACAACAATGAAAGCAATTCTCATTCAGAAAACTTGATATGTCAAAAGTGCAGAATATACTGTAGGATTGACAGTGCAAATTTAAAACACTGAAATAGGTTTTTCCACCTGGCTCGACTCCATGTAATTTGTCCGATTGTCGACACCAACAGGAGCATGTTTGACTATCGAGCATACACTGTTTCCTAACAACACATGACTACATGTGATAAAAGGAATATTTTGTTAAATGTTAAAAGGAGATTTTGTCCTAACCATCTGCAACACCTGAAATTTCTTTTTGTGAAACTGTTTCTTACCGTGGCATTGCAGCTGAAATAACAGCATAAACTATGACAATGATCACTTCAGGTACTGATTACATGCTTTATTCAGCATTAAATGATACCCGTTAAGGGTGTCACGATTTCGATTTTTAATCGAAATCGATCGAAATTTATGCTCGATTTCGATTATCGAATCAAAAAATAGAATTGTCAATGCTGCCACGCCCCCATGTCACGTCAGCTTGGCTTGCCAAGCGGGAAAAACACATTTGTTGAAGTGCTCGTTGAACTGTGCAGACGCAGGAGACCCATCGACAGAGCTTAAACCTTCAGGGCTCGACAATAAGGACTGCCCGATAGCCCGGGGCCAGCGTGCGAGACGCTCGGGTCAGTGTACAGTGCTGCCTTGATGCCTCACAGATCGAGCCAGAGCTACGTGCTGCGACTGTCTGTCAATTGTGTGCAAATACAATCTTATGGTGCTTTGACACATAGACGTTTGTTTCGGTTTGTCTCGTTTGCCCCGTTAGCGTGGTTTGTTTGGCATATATCCAGTCGCGCTCGCATCCGCGCCAAATCAATCAGTCCGAGATCGCCTGAAAGAGACGGTCTCTGCCCTATTGAGTGGATCGATTGTAGTGAGAAAACAATGCAACGAAGTAACGACCCAGGCTATATCACAGTGTATTATGATCGTGTAATAGCCATATATACGGCTATATGAAGAGAGAATGAAGAGCAGGGCGAGATGTCATTCTTACCGGTAAATGCGAAAGTGAAAGCATGCTGAAATATTACAGAGAGCTGTTTATCCAGCCTGATCTCGGTTTATCCGTCAGGAAAATTGACCGAAATTACTATCTCTTAATTTTTCCATATTTTAATAGTATAATATGTTGTATTAGGCCTGTTGTTTTGTTAATTTCCGCACTGACAGCTCGAAAGAAAGATTTACATTGATCTGATGCAGTCTCGGTTCATCTGCTATGTCTCTCTATAATTTAAGCCTATAATGCAGAATTTTAGCCAACGTTTCTTTAATAGATTGATTAATTAAATAGATCGATTTTTATAAAACCTGACAATTGAAATGAGGCTCTGTATGTATAAGAAAGTCTGACCTCGGCTTTATATTTGGTGACGATGTCTGTGGGTTGTTAAAATTAAAGTGCACATTTTCACTTATAAAATATTCTATTTTTATATAAAATAAAAAGGCTCTAAAGTTTGGGGTCAGTATGATTAAAAATGTTAAACTAAGCTTCATCTGCTCACCAAGGCTGCAATTATTTCATCATAAATACAAATTGTGAAATGTTGCTCTATAAAATAACTGTTCAAAAGTAGTTTATAATTTAATTTATTAATTTATTCCAGTGATTTTAAAGATGGAATTTCAGCTTCATTACTCCAGTCACATGATCCTTCAAAAATCACTAATATTAATTATTATTATATTTATTAATGGTAATAGTTATAAAATCAATAATGTCTGAAGTTATGATTTTATTTGAAACTACATACAATAACAAAGCAGTTATTTACAATTTTGAAAAATATTTAACAATTAAACCTTTTTTACATTGATAAATATAGCCTTGATAAACTGAATAATTTTCCTTAAAAAACATTTTAAAAATTACCGTAAATATATTTACAGATTTATTAGCCCCCTTTTGTTTTTTTTTTGTTTTTTCCTTTTAAAATATTTCCTAAATGATGTTTAACAGAGCAAAGAAATGTTGATAGTTTGTCTGATAATATATTTTCCTCTGAACAAAATCTTATTTGTTTTATTTTGGCTAGAATAAAAGCATTTTTTTAACCATTTTAAGGTCAAATTTATTAGCCTCTTAAGCTAATTGTTTTTCAGACTGTCTACAGAACAAACCATCATTATACAATAACTTGCCTAATTACCCTAACCTGCCTAGTTAACCTAATTACCATAGTTAAGCCTTTAAATGTCACTTTAAGCTGTATAGAAGTGTATTGAAGAATATCTAGTCAAATATTATTTACAGTCATCATGACAAAGATAAAATAAATCAGTTATTAGAGATGAGTTATTAAAACTATTATGTTTAGAAATGTGCTGAGAAAATCTGTTCTCTGTTAAATAGAAATTGGGGAAAAAATAAACAGGGGTGCCAATAATTTAGGGGGACTAATAATTCTGAAATCAACTGTGTGTGTGTGTGTGTGCGTGCGTGTGTGTGTGTGTGTGTGTGTGTGTGTGTGTGTGTGTGTGTGTGTGTGTGTGTATATACACATACACGCACATTCAAATAGCTATTAACCTCTTTTTTTTTTTTTTTTTTTGGTGGGGCCAGTGAAAATTTGGGCAGGGCAAGTAAAAATCAGAACCACTGGCCCGATCGGGCCAGTAGAAAAAATCCTTAGCGTTGAACCCTGCAGTGATTTTAAAGATGAAATTTTAGCTTCATTACTCCAGTCACATGATCCTTCAGAAATTACTAATATTAATTATTATTATATTTATTAATAGTAATAGTAATAAAAGCAATAATGTCTGGAGTAATCATTTTATTTGAAACTACATACAATAACAAAGCAGTTATTTAAAATTTTGATACATATTTAACAATGTAACATTTTTAACCTTTAATAAATGTAGCCTTGATGAACTGAATAAGTTTTCTTAAAAACATTTAAAAAATTACTGTAAATATATATACAGTGGAAGTCAGAATTATTAGTCCCCCTTTGTTGTTTTTTTCTTTTTAAAATATTTCCCTTTATGATGTTTAACAGAGCAAGCAAATGTTGATAGTATTTCTGATAATATTTTTTCCTCTAAACAAAGTCTTATTCGTTTTATTTTGGCTGGAATAAAAGCAGTTCTTAATTTTTTTATGAACCATTTTAAGGTCAAATTTATTAGCCTCTTAAGCTAATTGTTTTTCAGACTGTCTCCAGAACAAACCATCGTTATACAATAACTTGCCTAATTACCCTAGCCTGCCTGGTTAACCTAATTAACCTAGTTAAGACTGCTTCAATCTTTTACTTTCACACTTGTACTCAACTTGTGTCATTTTAGCAAACACCTCAGATACTGTTGGCTGGTTCCTGTTGGTTGTGCACCTTTTTTTACCGACGCCATTATAACGACACAGATCACTGCCTATTCACAAGAAAAAAGTGATTGACAGGTGGTAATTATGTGAGTAACTTGCCTTTATTCATTTACTGTATGATTTGTTTATGGGTAAAACAAAGACCATACAGGTCAGGTAGTTTAAATGGTAGGCTACAAATAATTAATTCGTTATTAATTAATTAATTATTCATAATCGAAAATCGAATCGAATCATGACTTAAGAATTGAAAATGTAAACGAATCGAGGATTTGGAGAATCGTGGCCCCCCTAATACCGGTGTAAGTTTAAATATCATTTTACATGTTTATTGTCATTTATTGTTATACTGAAAGCAAAAGATAATTTACCCCTAATCATAAAAATAAAATAACTAGCAAAACAAAACGTTTGACAATTCAACAAATATTAATCCGGGTGATTTGGCAGCCTGGAAAATTTCTGACATGCTTAATGTCTTATAAACAGGCTAATAAAAGTCTAATAACACTGTAAACTGCACAAACTGTGCTATAATAATGTGTTATCAACAATTATGTAAATGATTAAAGTATTAAACATTTATGCATGGTTTTTGCATAATATAACATATAAGTGCTGTCAATTGATAAAAAAATTAACTAATTAATCACACTTTTTTTGAAAATTAATCGCGATTAATCTCATTTGGACTGAAAGTTGTAATTTTGGCTATTCAAATGTAAAATTTATACAAATCGCAAGACTAAAACTATTTAAATTAAAAATATAAATGTTTATTAGAATTTTTGTTTAACTTGTAACACAGATTTCTTTATGTAAACAACATACACACAATAAACCATCAAGATCATGGCTTGACAGCCATATTTATTACTGAAATTAAAACACAGGCATGGTAATGCCATTTGAATTTCAAAACAATCAATGCCAATAAAGAAAAAAAAAAGATTTCCAAGATGGATTCTGAGTGGACTGCAAAAAAATGCCAATATACAGGCATTGCAAATATGGAAAGTGGAAAATTATAATAACAATAAAGTATTGAATACAAACAATTTTAATTATTGTAAAGTTGTATTGCTGTAAGTTGGGTTGTCCTCCTTTACATTCAGCCAGTTGCTAAAACAGTCCAGTCTGTTGACATTATCATTACCCGGAGGAAACCCACGCGAACGCCGGTAGAACATGCAAACTCCACAAAGAAACGCCAACTGACCCAGCCAAAGATCGAACCAGTGACCTTCTTGCTGTGAGGTGACAGCACTACCTACTGCGCTACTGCGTCACGCCTGTCATGTTTATGTCACTATAAACAGTATTTGACCTCTGGGTTATTCCACTTACCTCTCAGTTTTCTGCACAGATGTCACATTGATCTCCCAACGCAGACGGCCAGACTCGAACATCATCAGTTGACCTGTCTCTGTGCCGGCTAAGACCTGCTCCGTGGTCATCCATGTGTGACACAGGAAGTTGTGGGAGTCTGTTTTAAATGCGTTGGTCTGTTTCAGGGTTTCTCCAGCATAGTGGAAAATCTTAAACACACCTTTGCCACTCACACAAATCTTAGAGTTGTCCTGAGGGTTGAAGCTGACCTATAAACGGGAAAGAAAAAAAAGCAAAATTTTGTACATTAAAGTAAATGTTTAATCAAATTATCAACTCAAAGATCACAGCAGGTTGAATATGGAGAACATGCAAATGCCACAAAGAAATGCAAACTGGCCCAGTCGGGACCCTAGTAATCTTCTTGCTGTGAGGCAACAGTGCTAATCACTGAGCCATTGTGCTGTCCAAGTGTAATCTAATAAGTCGCAATTACGATTTTTTTATTACAAAATTATAAATAACAGCAATAAAATTATCTAGTTAGGAATGTAATATATTTTAAATATAATATACAGGTGCTAGACGTAAAATTAAAATATCTTCAAAAAGTTGACTTATTTTACTAATTCCTATTAAGAAGTGAAACTCATTTCTTTTATTTTTGATGATTTTTGATGACAACTAATGAAAACGTCCTGGTTACGTGTGTAACCCATGTTTCCCGAATAGGGAAGAAAGACGTGTTTCTGTATAAACAGACTTTGTGAGTGCTTTAGACCACCAATCACTTCTGAAGATATAAAAACAGGCCAATTGACCTTATTCTAAAATGCGGAAGTTCACCTGTTTTCGCGATTGTCTTAGAACTTCCGTTTTAGTCGCCTATGGGAGAAATGACAAGGAATAATAAACGGCAAAAAACGGTCAAACTACTTGCTCTACAAACAAATGTTTGCATGACTACATTTACATTTACATTTAGTCATTTAGCAGACGCTTTTATCCAAAGCGACTTACAAATGAGGACAAGGAAGCAATTTACACAACTATATAAGAGCAACAATGAATAAGTGCTATAGGCATGTTTCAGGTCTGTAAAGTCTAAGAAGGAACGTATTAGTAGTATTGGTATTTTTATTTTTTTTTTATTTTTTATTTTTTTTTGGGTACAGTGTAATATCCAGAGAGGCAATTGCAGATTAGGAAGTGAAGTGGAGACTAAATAGTTGAGTTTTTAGTCGTTTCTTGAAAACAGCAAGTGACTCTGCTGTTCTGATGCAGTTAGGGAGTTCATTCCACCAACTGGGCAGATTAAGCGTGAGCATTCGCTAAAGTGATTTCTTCTCTCTTTGGGATGGAACCACCAGGAGCAAGGCCAGAAGTCACTTTGTAGGCAAACATCAGAGCTTTGAATTTGATGCGAGCAGCAACTGGCAGCCAGTGCAAACGGACTAGCAGTGGAGTGACATGTGCTCGTTTAGGTTCACTGAAGACCACTCGTGCTGCTGCGTTCTGGAGCAGTTGAAGAGGCTTGATAGAGTTAGCTGGAAGCCCAGCTAGTAGAGAGTTGCAGTAATCCAGTTTGGAGAGAACAAGAGCTTGAACATGGAGTTGAGCTGCATGTTCAGATAAGAAGGGTCGGATCTTTCTGATGTTATAGAGTGCGAATCTGCACGATCGAGCAGTTCTAGAAATGTGGTCAGAGAAGTTTAGTTGGTCATCAATCGTTACTCAAAGGCTTTTCACCATTTTGGATGCAGTAATGGTTGCCCCATCCATCTGGATTGAAAAGTTATGGTGTATAGTCGGGTTGGCAGAAACTACAAGCATTTCCGTTTTTGCGAGGTTCAGCTGAAGATGATGATCTTTCATCCAGTGTGAAATATCCAACAGGCAGGCTGAGATGCGAGCTGGAACCGAGGGATCATCAGGATGAAAAGAGAGGTATAGCTGGGTATCATCAGCATAGCAGTGGTAGGAGAATCCATGTCTCTGGATGACTGGTCCTAGAGATGACGTGTAGATGGAGAAGAGAAGTGGCCCAAGAACACCATACAGACCAAGTAGAATAATATAACAAGGAAATATCAGTTTGCAACATCAAACAGCGAAACAAGCAGTTTTTAATGTCTAAAAATGAATGGAAGTGAATGAGACCGGAAGTCTCGTGCCAAAAAGGTTCAAATGGCAGCGCCCGCTCGTCTGCGGAGAATAAGGTCAATACAATGCCAATTGAATTGGAGGAGCTTAGCTCCACAGCTGAAACTGATGAGCCAATTAGGGCTATATCAGTCGGCTGCTGGAGTTAGCTCATCAGAATTTGCCTGCAGAAGAGCCGTTCATTCAGCTCCCAGCTGAAGACTCAGGTGCTGTAGCAGTGGAGACACACGTTTCCATCCCCTGTTCAGGGAACGTGGGTTACATAAATAACCAGTACGTTCCCCTTCATAAGAGAACTTCTACGTGTGTCTGTATAAACCGGCTTTTGGAGACTGTATGGAAAGTGCCACAACAGCCAAGCCCGTAAACCCTCCTGATGTGTAGTTTGCCAAGCGTGAGCGCACTGATATCACCAAGAGCGCAACCTTCCAATGTCCCCTAGGCCCAACATATTACCATTACATGGGAACAAAATGTTTAATGTTTAATTGGGGGTCGTAAGTGTGCTTTTACCTAGCTAATATAGACTTGGGATTTTTGGAAATACGACAGTACGTTGGGAAAGTGTCCCCGAAGCCACGCAGCCGAGACCACTTGCTACCCAAAAGGGGAGCCTTGAAGATAAGAGACATATAGACTAGCCCTGATGAGGGGGAGTGCTACATATGTTAAGCTGGGTAGCGGTTTAGGGAAGACACGGGACAACCTAATAAGGGAGAACACACCGTGGTAATAATACATATGGCATCACCAAATGAGGATGCACATAGCTGGCACCGAACCTCAGGGAGTCTGGGAGGAAGTCTCTAGGGTTCGCCTGAGAAGAGGAACCCTAGAGGGGAAGAGGGGGAAGGAGATAGTTGAGTATGCGGAAGCCTGCGAGCTGCAGTGGCACTAGAGCACCCTCTGCGGAGACTTTGAGAGCCGAACTTCATCTCAGCTGGAGGGACCTGCTTGATTGCATCCTTCAACAGAAGGACAGTAATCTCCTCTCGCAAGACAGGGGAGCTCTCTGGGATAACCTTCATGAAAAAGACACCCGTGAACTTGGCGAATAGCAAACTGAATCGCATAGTCGAGTCTGACCGTCCGTATGAGCCACCGCGACGCGCTGTGCAGCGCTAACAGGCCGGCAGAGCACGCACAAATGGCACCATCGGAGCGATCACTGGGGCAGCTCGGGATGGGAGTGCGTCCCCAGGAGAAGCTGAAAATAAGAGTTTCTCTTAACTGCCTCCCTGGATCTCATGGTGAGGCTGGAGTGACAGAAAGGAGTCTGCTCTGCTGCACTCTAAGAACCTGAGGCGAAGGGTCGCAGCACTGCGAGCTGGAAGGCGGAGCATCCGACACTGGCAGTGCTCAGGTTTGCGCATCCGGAGAGAGGAAACTGCTCTTTTGTTGAGAATTTGTTTCCTGCCAGCCCGGAAAAAGGCAGTGATGAATTTAGAGTCATTGTAATGGACTGATGAGATGATCCTCGGCCCCCCACCGAGGAAAAAGCAGGTCCCCTCTTCTCCAGATGGCCCGTCTCCGGGTCACTTCGTGGTCCTTTTATTGAACTTAGCGGTGCCATGGGGCGGGGGTGTCGCAGTCTCGTTGGATGCTTTGAGTAAGACCAATACTCAAAAAATTAAGAACAGGGACACCAAGGTATTTAGACCAGGTACTGGTTCCTTTGGCACTGTGTGCAGGTGCTAAGTCCTGTTGGAAAATGAAATCTGCATCTCCATAAAGTCGGTCAGCAGTGGGACGCATGAAGTGCTCTAAAACGTCCTGAGCTGTGTTGACCTTGGACCTCAGAAAACACAGTGAAGCAACACCAGCAGATGACATAGTACCTTAAACCATCGCTGACTGTGGCACCTTCAATACTGAACCTTTTTACAAAACTAAGGAATGTAAACTAAACTAAACTAAAATAAAACTAATTTTCTGAGATACTGAATTTGGGGTTTTCATTAGTTGTCAACAAAATCATCAAAATTAAAAGAAATAATCACTTGAAATATATCAGTCTGTGTGGAATGAATGTATACATTATATATATAAGTTTATTATAAGTATATAATGTATAAGTTTCACTTCTCGAAAGGAACTATAGAAAAAAATCAAGTTTTTAAAGATATTTTAATTTTATGACCAGTACCTGTATCAACTACTCAGCATTTACACATGCGGCGCGTCTAACTTTCCACTGCTTGGCACAGCAAATGTGAAAGGATACATGTTAATAAACACTGCTGTATATCCCTTATTTTAATGTACAACATAAACCTAATTTAACATCCACAAACTGGAATTGAAACGTCTTTTATAATTGTACTGAAATGCGGCTGTTGTAAATTACATAAATTACATAGCGATTTTACTGTCTTTTCTTTATTACAAACATGTATTGTTATAGAAACATGCAAATCTGTAATACTCATTCTTGAGTTGCAGGTGATCACAGGGAGCTGAACAGATCTTTTAAACCCAGTTGCTTTGTGCGGTGTTCACTTCGCAAATTAAATAATTAAATAAATAAACTAGCTTGTAACATTTTATGTTACGACAACTTTAGCACTCACATTTAGATTCCTTCTGTTTTCTTGCTTTAATGCATCTGCTACCTATATTTTGATACTTCTGCCATCTAGTGATCACTTAACAGTACCATCAACAAATCACTACATTACTTTTTTTAAGGATAAATCAATTATGCATAAACGTCAAATGTGACGTTATTGTGTGAAAATTATTCATTCATTCATTCATTTTCTTTTAGGCTTAGTCGCTTTATTAATCTAGGGTCATCTGCGGATGCCCTTCCAGCTGCAAACCATCTCTGGGAAACATCCATACCCACTCATACACACAGACAATTTAGCCTACCCATTTCACCTGTACCGCATGTCTTTGGACTGTGGGGGAAACCGGAGCACCCGGAGGACCCCGCTCACGCAGGGAGAACATGCAAACTTCACACAGAAACTTTGTACCATCTCTGCCAGGAATACTGAGATATGTCTGTTTTGATCATGCGTTCTCTTGTTTGTCTGTTTTGATGTTTTATGCATACTTTGCAATTACTGACTATTTTCTCAATGTTAGAATTGATCCTAGG